GGCATGTCGCCAGTTTAGTAGATCACATGAAGCATACTTATACTCAGAACAGTCACCGGAACCCTGGTTAGTCGCAGTGACCTGAGAAAAATCCGACAATACGAGATTTGCACGTAGCGGAAAGATCACCACGATCCGCGAAGACTGCAACCACTTATGAAAACATTTTATTTGGAATTATATCATCAGACAGGCATCAACTTTCGGCAAAGCATTTGGCAAATATCGACAGAGAGCTCCCATCCCAACGTAACTGGGTAATGAGTCTCGTGGGGGTTGATAGTGGAACTGGATGTCATAAAATCCCCAGCATTCTCGGTTGACGTCTGGTGGCCGACCGCATGTCGTCGAGGGTCACAGCGCGTTGCCGGCTGTCTGCGGCGGCGAATATTTGCACGCGGCGCGATTGCGACTTTTGCGGCGCGTCTGCCGCCGCCAGCTCGGTTTCCGCCGTGGTCGTGTGAGCCGCCGGGGCCGCGGGCGACTGTCTGCACTGAGCCCTCGCGGCGGCTCGGAGACTGCGTGCGGCTTGTGCCTCGGTGGCGCTGAGGGCTGGCCGCCGCCGACCCGCACTCCGGAGCGCCCTAATGGCCAGGTAGGCACGTAAATGGCCACCATTATATGCTGATTCCACACAAACAGCAGTTAAGTGTAATGCCTCATTCAAAAACCGGGAAGAAAAAGCGAGGATTGCGGCTGTCCCAGCGGCGAAATGGGCCATAATCGGGCGTAAAAAAGCGGCTAACGCACTGTCGGTACATGAAATAAACATGCACTCGAGGTAATATGGCCATTATAATTATGCCAAATAAATCACTTGCGCTAGAATCGGGTAACTTGCTTTGACGCACGAAAGGTGCTGTCCACTTCGGAATGGGAAAAGACTAGATTATTCATTGGTTCTCTTGTGGCATTGTCAACGTAAATATATTTCGACTTGTCAAGTGCAGCTGTCTTTAAATGGACGATACATAGGAACAGTATCCACTTTGGTTTTTGCAACACATTCTAATGAACACACGACCTATTGTTTTTATCTACTGCACTGAAAACAATTTAACCCAAGGCCCGCGAGTAAACCGGTGTTTTGCGGGTACCCCTATCCGCAACCATTTTTAACTACCCTCCCAGGAGTACAGTAAGGTCCCATTGCAGTGTAGTCGTCCCTGCTCTCAGCGGACTTGTTCGCTGACAGCGGTTATATCCGCTCAGAGCAAGTACGGCTACACCGCAATGGGACCTAGCACTACTCCTGGGAGGGTGGTTAAAAATGGTTGCGGATAGGGGTACCCGTAAAACACCGGTTTACTCGCCAGCCTTGGATTAAATTGTTTTCAGTGTGGCCATTGCGATAATTTTGACATTGCATTGTTTCTGCTCGCTTGAGCTCAATAGATGGCACTCTCATACTGTTCCATTATTTGCTTTCGCACAGCACTCAACACAAGAAACATCACGGTTCGCGGTTTCAACCCGAGAGTGATGCATTTTAAAATGTGGAATCATTAAACCAATGCACATATAACGCTTAAAATAACTTTATATTGCAAACAAGGCAGCAAATTTAGGCAGTTAACACGATAATCACTACAAGCTCCTGAAAATATCCCACCGACGGCAACGAGTCAGTTGGCGCCGATGCATCAACGGTCGTCTCTCCTTATGATGTCAACAGACACCTGATCCGGCCGTGCTCAGGCCGAGCTCGGGCACGCCCGGAACGTCTGGTATGCACGTACGGCAGGCCGTGGCCTTCACCCACCGACCGCCAACTTCCGGTGCCGATGTAGCACCGGAAACGATCGCTTCCGGTCGGCGGCGCTAGAAGCTGACACGAGGTGAGCCGATACCTTTCGGTCTCTTACGAGGTCATTTAAACGATGTTTCTTACTCTGCAATTATTTCCAGTGCATAATAGCCGTTTTCATGACGGGCTATCCGGCAAATGCACCTGATTTGACCAAATCTGCACCTAATTTCTTTTACAGCAAATATCTTCATTTTATGAATTTATTTCAGTGTTTTAATCGATGATGCTCTCTGATTATACGACAAAGCAGGCATATAAACAATTAGTGCAACCCTAGCTGATAGCTGCTAAGAGACACACTGAACCTTATTTGACCAAATCTGCACCAAATCTGTACCAGATGTGCCCCAAATGTGTACCAGATGGCCGTCGTGAAAACGGCTAATGTCTAAGTTGGTGTCTTATTCATTCCTGGTTCCTGTTTTTACATGCATTAAGTATAAAGCCCATCCGAAAATTCATCGTAAGGTTTGCGACGTTTCGTAAGCCGGATGCCACGAGTGAGCATCGACTCGCGCTGAAGCTAGACGGTAAGTCGATGAGCGATCACACCAAGAACTGGGATACATAACGGCGACTTGGATCAGAGAGGCGAATTGTGGGTTGTAAAGCAACATGGCTTGCTTTTTTCTTTGAACCAGACCCATCACGAGTGCCAAAATCGTCAGGAAGAACGAGTACTTGTCTAAAGGTAGCACGTCTAAAAAGCTTTCCGGTTTTGGCTCACCGAATTCCACGATAGCCCTCCCTAGGCCGTGTTTTCCGATGCCTAGCGAAGATCCACTGATCCCAGTACCTACCAGCTCGCAAATTTTGCTGACATGGCTGTACCTCAGGTCAGGCAGTGACCTCAGGTCATTTGATGATCTAACTATAGGGGCATTCCACGTCAAGTGGGACAAAAAATGACCATTTTGAACCTCACGTCCTCCGATTTTTGCGAAACTTTGTGAAACTACTCATCTATATATGAAAAGAAAGGAGACATTTTTTTGTCGAGATATGACGTCACGTTTCCGAGATACACGTCATCAAACATTGACTTAGGTAAGGCACATTATCATCTTTAAAACGTCATAATCATTGAAGTTTTAGACATATCACCACGCAACAAAGTGTGAAATGGAGGGAATAGATCAGGCTTTGATTTGAGGATAACAATATTGACGTTATGAAATAATTAGTGAACTTAATTAAAATACAAAAAATAAATTTTGATTTTCTGAAAAATGGGTATCCTTCGATTTTGCTGATTTTCACATATTTTATTCTCCTATACATGAGCTACATCATATAAAAAATCCAGCATGGGCCGACGTCTACGTAACTGTCTTTTGGACTTCGTAATGTCTGGCACTCGCGCGTTTTGTTTTAGCAACCAAGGAGAGGCGCTACCCGAAGATGCTTCTTTCTACCCCAAACCAAAGCAAACCTAACCTGACCTGACGTGACCTGACCTAATCTAGAACGCGTAAATATGTACAGCCCTTACGGCAGTTGCCGACTGGCCAAATACTACATACTTAGATACGAACATTGGCTCTCACGACATTTGCCGGCTGGCCAGATGCTACTTAAAAAACGAATGCGTGTTAAAACACTTGAGGCTACCGGCCGCGAGCCAGCGACCTTTAGATTACGAGGTGGGGTACACTCGGCACACTAACTACTAAGCCATGAAGGTAGGTGGTCATCGCGGAGATGTAAGCCAGTTTTTTTAATGATGCAATTGGGCATTCTCCGGGCAGCGCCTCTCTTTGGTTGCAAAAAGGAAATACCTACGCCTGGCTTTCCCAGCGCTAGGGGAGAATGACCCGGTTTAGCCAAAAAAGGTGTTAAAAAACGAAATTTGAATTGTAACTGGGGCGGTGGGGAACTTTATCGTGTGCCAATTTCATGTCCCTAGATCAATATCTTCAAGATCAAATGAGGTTAAACGTGACCAATTTGCTTTAGTGACTATTTTGCGTTTATACGCCCATAGCTCTAAGAGCTACATGCTAGCCGATTTTCCTATTTCTTCCTTTATACGACATTTGTAGTGTTATGAAAATCTCTAGTTAATCTAACCATAAATTTGGCAGTTAGTGGCCGGCTAAGAGAAAGATGACGCCGGCAGAGGCGGGGATCGGCCGACGCGGGAAACATTTCAGTCAAAGGTTGTGTTTGCACCCTAATAATTCAATTTTTACCAGTTAATTTTCGTATTTATTTGAGCATTAGATTGCCTGTACATTTTTTAGCCTTCACACAAAATTTGCTACGAATCGATCGTAATCAGCGGTAACAAGCGCAGTGCAACGATGGAACCGTCCCGCGCCGGCACAGTCTACCATTCAGGCGGCAACGGCCGGCGCCGGCCGCAGCGCCGCTCCGGCAAGATCTTTGACTTTACGCCGCTATAACTTGAAAAGTTGAGGACCGATTTACCTATTGCTTGCATGGGAGGATTTGCAATTCAATTCTTAACAGATACTGAAAGTTTGACGTAAATATATAAAGTATGGCGTGAGTTATTGGCGAAAAACAGGTGGTTTTGGCGAAATCCGCCCCTTCCACCGCCCGTGCTACGTTGCACTACTTGTTGCTATATCATCCAAAGTTATCGTTGGCCCACTCTAATTTTCTCAGCACGTGTGCCTTACGTGTAGTGGAAGACAATATCTAAATTTGAGCAAAATCGAAGGGTACCCATTTTTCACAAATTAGATTTTAAGAAATTAAATCAAAATAAAATAAATTAAAAATCATCAAAAAATGTAAAAATTGACAAATTTAACTAGCACAACTCCTTACGTACACGTTTCAGTTTGTTTGAAATTAAAAGCTTCAAAAATGTTGAAGCTATAGATCTTTCAAGATTGCAATACACGTCCAATTCTGCTAAAAAAGCAGAAGTTTAGCGGCTTGTATCTCTGTAACCCGAGGGCATATGGCAAAATCCTTTCACCCTCAGAGGTTTCACCCAATAGCCAATAAGTATACCAAGTTTGAACAAAATCGCAGAGATGGCCGATTTTGGCTGTCCCGGTTGACATGGAATGCCCCTATAATAACAAAGATGATAAAAAGATGAATAAGTTATTGCGCACTATCCGAGCATTTCTACCCCTGAACGCCGTGACTCGCTCTCGGAGCCTCTGTCCCCTGTGACCCCTGTGACCCCAGTGACCCCAATAACCCCACTGACCTTTGCACGGACTGCAGGGAACACCGCCGTTCAGTGTGCGTTGGAAGAAGAGCCGGCCGTCGTTATCGTACTCATCGTCGGACCATGCGGTGTTCTGAGGCCCCTTGGCGCAGCACGCCTCGCGGCTGATGCCCATCTCCAGGAGGCTAGTGCAGCGGCCGACCCGTTTGTCCGCCTGCCAGCAGGTCCCCGCTGCGGGAGGAGGAAAAATGACGTCAGGGAAGGAAGGGCCTCAACTACCTCTGAAATCCTCTATAGGCGTCTCCAGCCTGTAAACACACCGGTGGGCGAGCTCTATCGGAGCATCCCCGGCGCGGCGTCTCATATGTGGGATGTAGTTTGTCATATCTATGTTTGGGCTGCAATGCACGTGGTATAAACATTGCATTTGCAGCAGGAGCTTCCGTGTTGAACGTTTCGAGTTCTACCATGAAATCACGGCTACATTTAATTCAGCGGAAATCGTCACGGAAGCCCATGTCTGTTAGTCGCTGTCCATGTTCGTTTATGGTACATTTACTTGAATTAATCGGCAGTCATGAAAATGTTAATGCTTTCTCTGATCTATCTGTACTGCTATAAACATACACACAAACATGACTATAAACACACACATGTCCCATAAGTCATCGCGTAATTAGCTGTAGGTATATACTATATTATTACTTGTCGGCACCAGAAAGGACCCAATGAAGCTGAGCCTCATCTGCTCACATGACTGCACCGAATAAAAGTGTTTTGCGCCTGGACACCTGACACGTCCCATTCAGTAGCCCTCGCCGCCGGCTGGCGCGCATCTGCAGGGACTGAGCGCGACTGGCACGGCCACCGACTTATCGCAGTCGGGCTGATTTGGGTTGATTAGCGCAGGTTGGAGCGAAATTTACAGGGACAGGGGAGGATTCTCAGGGATTAGGTTCACTAATGCGTCCAGGCTGGGAGCTAGTAGGATTTGTGCCAAGCTTCCAGGTAAAGTCATCCTTGTGAGAAAGTCTCCCTGAGCGGATGCTAGTGCTGAGCCTTCACAATGGGATAAAGCAAGATCACACGTAATTTACGCATTCAATCTAGAGCCAGCCCTGCTAGCGAGAGCATCAACCAAACCAGATCTACAGACCACACACATCATAACTGCAAGCAAATGTACACAAATATCTATCGCCTTATAAGATGTGTCCTTAATTCCTATAACTGTTAATCATCTGAATTCTGATCCTTACCTATCTCAGTAATACACAATTCGCCAATTAATAACAATTTCGTTACGCATTGTCCCGTACTCCCCGGCTAAACCGCACATTGTCGACTGTCGAGTTGTCTACTCGAGAATCGAGATACCGAGACACCCAGTGTGCCAGGGACTTTGGGGCTGTACTGGCCGTGTGTGTAACGCTGGGTGTACCCATCGACCTGCAGGACCTGTCAGTGAGTCAACGGACGATTATTGGTTCCAGCAGACAAGCTGATTAGCCTAACGAGCTATCAGGTGGGATTTGTATGAAAATCGGCTGATTTAACGAGAACGCAGAAAAGTGAATCAAGTATTGGGCATTCACCTGTTGTGGCAATTGTCAGCACGCAAAACAACTTAAGACTTTGCTCAGCTAAACGACTATGTTTTGATGTGCCTGATTTTGTCAAAAAAATACAATAGCAGTTATATGTGAGCCATGTGTATTCAGATGAATTCACTTGTTCCGAGACTAAGCGAGCAGGTAAAGTAAAGGTGACACATGCTAGCGCTAACGCACCGCACAGAACCGGAACTCGTGCGACTTCTGTGGCACTGATACGGAGCCAAACACACCGAGTGACACCGTAAGCGGCTTACAGTAGCGGCCGCCTTTTAACGGAAGGCGCTACACAGCACGTAGTACGAGGCTGAAGTCATCGTTCTTAAAAGAAATGCACCGAATCTGAACCGGCTGAGCCTATCCCTAGGTTTGCATCATCAGATAAACTCGTTGACGGCGTGCAGGCATCGGCTAATGTGCTTACATAAACAGTGATACCGGTGCACATGATGGGACACCACCAACTAGCCATTCCACAGGGTCATAGAAGGGGCACATAATGGCTGATCTTTTATGAGTAGCTCTTAAACATAAGCTGCTATTTGTTTTAAAAATAGTCCTAGAGGCGCTTACAGAACACGTAAATGTAAGAAAGGTGAAAAAGTTCTGCACAAACTCTATCAGAAATTGAGCTCCAAACCCACACTGACTGATAAGAGGTAGCTTCTATTCCTATTTACGATTGCTATAAAGATCCATGGAGGCACATGCACAAATATGCTAAGGTGCTAACTAGCAGCTCAATATTTTTATTTTTGTTGCATTTTTAAATGCCAACTTCTTGCCTTATATGGCTGTAAAAAAGTGTTTTAACCCATTCCGCTAAAAAGGAATTTAAGCATAGGTATATAATGCATTCAAAATCATTTAATGCTTTGCAGTTACCGGAGTGCTGTCTATGGCTACCTAAGCTTCATTAGCCCGCAAAGAGCGAGCAGCACCTGTTTGAATGAAAATGCGCCATGCATAACTATACCTTATCTCATCTCCTCTTTCTACACTTTATTATCATGTTTAGCATTTCACTATTTCTCATTTAATTCGAATGACACGAATATCTTTTGAATTATACCAGCTGCTGACACATCCTACCTATAGGTATGTAAAATGTGGTCAGGAGCGATAGGAAGCCTGGTCACCTGACATCCCGCGCGTGTCCGGCAGACGCCACTCCCGCGCCGGCGGGGGGGGGGGATGGAATGAAAACAGTCGCACGGCGTCGCCCGAAATAAAACAGCAGGTCCCGTCGGAGCTCGCAGCGCGACCCGCAGTGTCATCCGTTACAGGCGGGGCGACCGAGCGCACTGCACCGCACAGCAGGACAGTGATGGACCGGAGGGCCGGTGTGAATGAGGAGCGAATGAATCTGGTAGACGAGTGTGTGGGAGACCCGAGCACTGTAATTTATAAAGGAGCGGCTACAATGAGCAGGTGTTATACAACGGAGACAAAATCGATTTTGTGCCTGAGGGGTTCGTGAGCGAATTCAAGCATCGTTTGAAATTTAGGTTTAGGTGACCGACAGCAAAGCGAAAACGTGCGTCATTCTGAAAGGCAGGTTTGCAAAATTAGCCGTCTTTTCCAATATGAGTGCCTGCTATACCCAAATCCAAGTTCCCACGATACAGTTACCCGTTGCATGTGAGAAGGTGTTCACATGGTTTTTCATTGCACTTGACCGAGAATTGCCAGTGTAAAGTACAAAAATAGACCCAGCCAAGGAGTGTTCTGCTTAACGACTTGACTCATGACCTAATCGGTATAGGTGTGGCCGCTGAGCTCATGAATGGGTCAACGCTTCACTTAGCGCGAAACAATAGAGAACGAGTGTAAAACGAACATAAAACGGCCAACACTGTCTGGCGCGTCACACGGAACCGCCCCATGCTGTAGCTGTGCAGACAGGTCAGCGTTCCAATGAGTCACATCATTTATAGATTTTCAGTGACCAATGAATGCATGACATTTTGATCACGATGAATGACGTTACTGTCACGTATTGTGACCTCGTGGAAATGGCAGCCCATTCGTGGCGGTAAAGGGTAAAAGTACGGATTCTAAAATATTTTAATCTGGTATGTAAAAGAAATATGTAGTTCAAAAAGGATTATTCAAAAATCAAAAAAAAAAAAAAATCCGTAACATTTATCTACTTTGAAGTTTGATCATTGTAACAAAGTTAAGTGAAGGGAGCAAACAAGGGAGTATAAATTGAGCACAGCGGCTGCACGCAAAGTACCTCTAAGCGGAGGAAATGACAACAAATATTTTCTAGCCAGTTTGTGCAAACAAATCACGTCCATTTAGTAACATCAACTAGCTTAAAAAAGCATCTTAAAGAAACTATATTAGCTAGCAGCTGCGTGCTACAAGGACGCATCTGCATACACAACCCGCTCCTGAAATGATGCTTGCCTGTCTGCCATAGATTAGAGATCGATCGGTAACGTTACGGCAGCAGCATTCAAAACCAAAATAGCTCGCCGGTTTAGTAGGGCATGCTGAGGCACGAGTGAGCTGACCCAAAACACCTTAATTGCCTCTTTTGTTACTCGCAGCAAATGAGCAGTACATTTTTAGCACGAAGCTCAGCAATGGGCGGCGTGGGCGGCGGCGTTTAGGACGTGTAAGGTCTGAGCTCTTTCAACAGGTTCTGCAAGTGGAATTAACCACCAGAGTGACAAGTAGGGAAGGGGGCGGATCTTTTGAGCTGTATAGGTCTGAGCGGAAGGGCAATATCCACGGAACTGTGTCAGGCTATTTTAAGAGCCGGCAGCAAAGTGAAGCTAAATGAAGTCGAATTATTACGCCGCTGTGACGGAGTCACGGAATCTTTGAAACGGCAAAAACGTCTGATCTTTCGGGCTGAAAAGCATCGCTCTATGAGGCGCGAAGATTCTTGAGTAATATGGCTGTTGCAAGGAACTCAATGCAGAATTTAAGAAGATGCCTTTTTAAGATTTCATGTTGAACTCGAGATAACAGTTGCAATCACCGGCAGCAGCTAAGTTATTAGCTAACGGGAATGAGCAATTCTCCGGTAAAGAAGACCTGTTACATTATACCTGTTAAAATGTATTTGAAAATCGATTTAAAAATTGAGGTCAATGCCTGACCTCAATTAGGGGTCAGGCATTGACCCCTAATTGAGGGGTCAGAGCGCGTGCCGGAGAGGGCCGGCCGCGGGGTGGAGTGGCTCTGATCTGCCGCCGTCGCCCAGGTCTCAGTTACCGCTCTGTGGACTGTGGTGATTCGCGCCTCTGTGGTGTCACCGTTATTGCTGACGACCGCCCGCTACTCAGCGTTGTGGGGTGCTACATGCCCTACTGGGACTCGTCCGGCGCTAATACAGGTGAATATGCTGACGTCACGGGGAAATTGTCCGCAATTCTCTCCTCTCTTCGGCCGAGCGCGCCCGTAGTGCTGCTCGGCGACTTCAATTGTGCTTTATGCCCGCTGCCTCGAGAATCTCGTCCATCCACCTGGCACCGCCTTCGAGGCTACACGCCGAACAGTATGGCCATGCAGGAGCTCCTGGATGATCATGAATTATCGGTTGCTGAGTTCAATTTTAACCAACCGATTAGTTATACATACTCACGCGCTGGCAATCGGTCACACATTGACCATGTCGCTGTGCCCAAACTTCTCATGCCGCAAGTGCTAAGCTGCAAGATTGTGCCTCCAGATCTGAACAACCTGAGTCCTCATCTGCCGCTCATCTGCAGGCTGGCCGTCTCTGCCCCTGCTAGCAGGAACCCACTACTGCATCAGGATGTCGGCCTTGCAAAGCATCCAGACATCCTCGATTGGAGCTGTCCTAAAAAGAACGAAACTTACAGAGCAGTACTGAGCGGGCTGCTGTCTGAAGTTCTTCCAGCCTGCGACGACTCCCTTGATGCCCTTGACGCAGCCATTTCGCAATGCGCCCATGATGCTGCTCGCATCGCCGAATGCTCGAAGCCACGCCGTTCGCCAAAGTCTTGGTGGACTGCAAGCGCTGCAGCGGCTCGGGATCGCTCTCGCTTCTGGTACCGACTCTGGGTCTGTGCCGGTCGCCCAGATTCAGCTCCTGTCGCCGACTGCTACCGTGAAGCTAGACGATCGTATCGTCACGCACGCCGTAAGGCCGCCACCTCACACATCGAGAAGCAGGCGCGGCTACTCCGTCTTCTGCGTCGTGATCGCAAGCTGAACAAGTTCTGGCACCGCGTCCAGCTGGCCCGGCGAGGCGGCCTTGCGGTCGGCTCTGCCTGCTCTGTGGTTGATTTCTATACCCACTTCAAGACTGTCCACCACGACAGCCGGGAGCAGCTCAGCGACGAGCAGCGGCTCATTGCTGACGCTGTCGAAGCTCGTGTCTTAGGAGCTCGTGCGGAGATCACCCACCGAACTGTAACGCCAGATGAGGTCACTCATCTGCTGAACCGCCTTCATCCTGGCAAGGCACCTGGTGTGGATGGAGTGTCAGCTGAGCACTTGATGTTCGGCTCTTCTCCCCCTCTTCGAGACGCGCTGGCTCGCCTATTGACTGGCTGCCTATCTTCCTGCACTGTCCCGGCTTCTTTCACCGAGAGTATAGTGGTGCCGCTTTTGAAGAATAGTCGTCTCGATCCCAGTTGTCTTGATAACTACCGGCCCATCTCAATCACAACGTGTGCTTCAAAGCTCCTGGAACTGCTGATTTTGGAGGAACTGCAGTCTTCTTTTCACCCGCACGACCTGCAGTTTGGCTTCATCCCTAATCGTGGCACAGCGGAAGCTTCTATGCTCGTCGAAGAGACCGTACATTATAACCGGCGCGCTGGTCTCCCTGTGTTCGCTGCCAACCTGGACGCACGCAAATGTTTTGACAAGATTTGGCATGACGGACTGTTTTACCGACTCACAGAACATATGAGCGTCAACTGCTGGCTCCTGATCGTCTACTGGTATCGGCATCTATCCGCCAGAGTTACATTTGGTGGCACCAGCTCCGAAACTTTTGAGGTTTTACGAGGAACCAGGCAAGGCGCTATCCTCTCGCCGACCTTTGCAAATGTGTTCTTGCGTCCATTATTGGCGACGCTGGACCGCAGCGGCGACGGCGCTTACTTTCATCAGCACCACGTGCCGGGAGTGTGTTATGCTGATGACCTGCTCCTACTGTCAACGAACGCCGCTCATCTCAGTGCACTATTGGTCCAGGTCGGTGACTTTGCGCGGGACTGGCGACTAGAATTCGTCCATCCAGACCATCAGAAGACAAAAAGCCACTGCATCGTCTTCGGAGGCGAGCTTCTGGCGCAGTCACCAACGTGGAAGCTAGCTGGCCAACCGCTCCAAATACGGCCTTATTCCGAGCACCTCGGCGTGACGCTCGACGCCCGCTCCACGGCTTCCCGACACGTCGACCAGCGTGTCAAAAGGGCTCGAGCTGCCTTTTATGGCCTAGCACCAGCTGGCATACTGGCCAAAAGCTTAAGCCCGGCTGACAAAGCTTACCTATGGAAGGCTGTTGTCCTCCCTACTTTGATGTACGGGTGTAGCACAGCTCCTCTTCGTCCATCCGAGGTGGACCGCCTGGATGCCCTTCAAGCCGGATGTGTGAAGGCGGCATTCGGGCTGCCCCGCTTCGCACATCACTCTGCCCTCCTGACGGCCGCTGGTTTGGCGCCGGTTCGAGAGTTGTTGAGAGGCGCAATATTCTCTGCTCTCAGGTCAGCGATGGTAGCGGAGCACCGCTTAAAACAGACCATGATCACCTCCCTAGCAAAGCTGGCCATGTGCCCCAGAGAACTTGAGGGCTCATTCCTCCTACAAGTGTTTGAAATGTACAACAGGGACTTTCGAGCAGTAATGGAGCTGGCGGCTGGTGGGCCCGTGGACCCTGACCGTGTGCGGGCTCCGCGGTTGGAGGACGGCTTGGCGGATAGCATTCGGCTGGTCCTTCAAGGAACATGTGAGGCATCCAGGCGCCTATTGAGGCTCCTCACGTGCTCACATTGAGCACCTATACCTGAGATACCAGCTTTTCAGGCTCCCATCATTTGTGACCACAAACATGTATATATTTGTATTTGTCGCTGTAAAAGCGGTGCATAATAAAGAATGATGATGATGATGATGATGATTCATTCGCAGGAGAATTGGGAATATATATTACTGAACGGCTCTGGGAAAGAAAAATGGAAACCGAGGTCTTTAAAAAATTGTAGGCACGAGGCGTAGCCGAGTGCCGGAGATTTTTTGAAGACCGAGGTTTCCATTTTTCTTCCCAGAGCAAGTTCAGTAAGATATTTCCCATACGTCGTTTAATATCTATTCAGAAACTCACAATTTAATTATTGAAATCACCTTTTTTAAGATTTTTATCAAAAAATCACCAGAACTGTAGGTCATCAACCCGTGCCGGAAAACAGTGCAGGAAAGATCACGTGAAAATGTTTCCCGCACGGCTAGGATAATGCTAAAGGGATATCTCGGCGTATGGGAAAAAGTAGGAATCTATAGTGTGTAGATGTCTGGTCGATTACACAGTTACAAACACAGTGAAAAATTAGCCGTTTTCACGACGACTATCTCAGGCAGCTTTTGCCAAATTCTCAGGGAACTCAGATTTGTTTTTCAATAGAAAATCACAATTCTAAAGAATAGTGATTTAACTATTGACAGCAAACCTTCGGTTATTTGGAACACAATTGGTGCAGTTTTGGTGCAGATTTGGTCAAATAAGTTTCGCTGTGTCTCTTAGTATGTTATCAGCCGAGGCTGCACAGTTGCTTATGTATATGATTTTTCAAATTATCAGACATTATCTTGGATTAAAACACTGAAATGAATTCATATGAAGATATTACATATTTGTTGTAAAAGAGATTTGGTGCATATTTGGTCAAGTTTGGTTACCTTCGCCAGATAACCCGTCATGACAACGGCTAGTATCGAGCAGAGTGCCTAATGAGCCAACTAATTTTGAATTCCATTTAACTACTTAGGTTGTTATAAAGGGACAGGGAACGCCTACCATGCAAATAAATTACCTGCCACCAAATAATTGAACTTACTTAAAAAAAAACGCTTTCCTGATTTGAATGAAAAATTGCATTAGACGGCTTTGCGTTTCAGATCCATATCTATGCGGTTTGCATTAATCTAACAGTAGGCTGATCGTACAGGGGAGATGATAAGCGAAGTAGCTATTGACACAAAATGCGACTTACGATTTATATGCAAAGCTCAAGTGACCACAAGTGAGCTATCAACGGGTAGTAATAATGCCACAATTAATAATACCTCTCGTAAGAGGCACTTTAGTTTTTCGTGTGAAACGTAATTTACACCTGTCATGTTAAAAATTTGCGTTGGTGTAGATGTTATGCCGAAAAAAATTGGTAGATTTTACGGACTTCAAAAACGAATGACAGATCTAAAAAACGGCCTTCGGTACCAGATACCTTTGTAATCTATGCAAATGATTGCTGAAAAAAATATAATACGAATGCTGATTAGGAATTAAATGCCGCATGAATCGGTAAAAAACTTACCTAAACATAAAAAATTCCGGTGCGGCCGCCGCCGGCCTCGGCCCGGCCGCGCTCCGACTACATCGGCTCCGAATCCCAAATGCGGACTAAACGCTCTGAGATCATAAAAAAAACTTACGGAAAATAGGTTATCAATTAAGTCAGGACCTAAAATACCTAATCACTGAGATAAACAGCTATTGGCGTTTAGGCTGGAAGATTTTTAACGCCAGCACCACCCAGCTGTGGCTTGACACCACGTGCCGGTCGCTCACCTTGCACTCCTGTCATGAGTCCACACCAGAGCGGCGGCAGCAGCAGCAGCGAGAGCCGGCACGGCCGACGACAGCGCTCCATCGCTCTCCTTTCGACGGCACCGGGACGGGCGGCTCGACAGCACGCCGGTCAGCGTCGCTCCTCTGGCTGCCGCCGCCGGAGCCACGCTTTTAATCGCGCCGGCCCACCACGTGACTTCATTCAGCGGCGCCGACCAATGGCAGCCGTCCGTCGGCCCCCAATGGTAGTAGCGCCGCGTGGGCGGCCGCCGTCCGTCCGTCAGGGTCGCAGCCGTCGGCACGGCAGACCGACGAGCGTCGGGATCGACGGCGGACGGCCGACGCCGGAGTCGGCGGAGGGAACGACGCGGCACTCGGCCGGCCGCGAGCCGCCCTCGTCGCAGCATTACTTGTAGGAATTTGTGAATGAACGTTCAAAGCGGATCTAGTCAATAGCGGATCTCATTGGAACACATTGGAGCTGTTCATCTTGCAACCATGTACTTACTGCTCAGTGCTCACCAGTCACCTGTTATGCAGAATGGCTTCCATCAGGCCGCGACATTGATCTTAAGCCAAGATATTAAGTTGATCTTTTAAGATGGTTCGGCAAGAGTAACACAATGCATTAGATAATTTATTTCAAGGAAACTTGGACATTCCTCAGCTGAACCCATTGAAAACACATCCTTGGCCAATCACCGAAGTTTGACACCAATGATTCAGCCAGTTCTGGTCTATGGATAATGGATATGGCTGAAGCTATGGCTAATTTCTCACCCATTGCGCAAATTAAGTTATTTATGCAAAGGTGCTTGCATATGCAAGAAAACGGCAGCGTTGGGCAGTGTCACAATGCAGTCCACCATCGGATGACAGAAAATGTTGAAGTAAATTTAATGTGGAAAAATTAACTTGAAATTTAATCAAGATGAAATAAAAATTGTGGGGCTAATCTTTTGGGGGCCCCATGCACGATCAGAGCCTAGTTGAGCTGATTTATGTAATCCAGTCAATTCAATATCCTGATTACGCGACTGTGAGTTTCGAGCAACATCACAGCTTACTTGCGTAAAAACGGTAGCTATTCATAGGCCCGAAATAAACAAATAGTTATGAGTGTCTGGCCGTGCATCGCCATTTTCCGCATTTCTCTTCGCTCCGTAGCAGCATTTAGAACACCACAAATAGACAGCTTAAAAATAAACACCGGAGACCATTTGCCAGCGGCGTGTCTTAATGCGTCACTGACGTATCTCTTTGGCCCACGGGAGGTCTACCTGCTGCCGGCATTCAGATGGAATTTTTCCCAGAAGAGCTCACTCAAGATCCCTTTAGATGTAACGCAACATCAATTCATGCTGTCAGGACGGGAACAGAAATGCGAGAAATATTTAGGCCAAAGTGCTGAGCCTTTCCAGAAATTCTATGCGTATCGATGTCGTCAAATGATCCTGCTGCTCCTAGTACTGAGTTCTGACCCATCACATAGGCTTAGTCATAGGTCCAGATCACAGGTCCTCGTTGGAACATTGACGTCATAACTATTACATTGCAATCAATGAGAAAACCTATAAGCGGCAAAAAAACCTGACTGCTTATGAGAATCACTTCATAATTATATGTAGTTGTTATAATGTGTATTATTAGGTTTTAATTAAATGTCCAAAATGATATTATTTTCAAGACGTCATCAGTCAGAGAGAGCGTTTTCAATGGCGATATAAACTAACATGTAATTCAATAATACATATGCACAATATACAAACCAAAAAACATTATTCATATGCTTCACTTTTCTCCTAGCTGGTCATACCTATGTCATGTGGCGCACACGACTTCATAAGATGACGTAATACTAAATTCACCAACAACCCCTCTTACGATAAACGCCTCTGCCTATGTACAGAGAGATCTTTCCTTCCAAGCCCATGGTGGCTTACTAAAGCGTTAGGCTGTCCCGATAAGCACCGAAGTTGAGCGACCCGGTCTTTTCCGTGGCATTGCGCTTGCTACATGGTCGGGCCAGGGACAATCTAACCATCTTGTAGTTACCACTATAAATTTATATTCTTTTATGCATATAAAACAATATATGATTTCTTATCTTCCTACGTTACCATGAAGACGGTCGACAGCATTTAGCCCCGGGCGCCGTCAAGTCAGGCCCGTGACCCGGGGCGGGCGGCTGCAGGCGCGCGGCGTCGGGCGAGGGACGGTGTGGAAAGGTGACAGTCCAGCGAAGTGCGCGGGCGGAGAGACCTGTCGAATACCTGCGAACTGAACGGTCGAACCCTGGCCGACGAGACACAGACTGAACGACCGGGGCCCAGCTGACAAGCTTTAGACTGAACCGTGAACGGTCGGAGCCCAGTCGGCGAGCTTGCAGACTGAACGGTTGGAGACCAGTCGACGAGCTACATGGATCGAACGGCCGTCTATTCTCTCTGAAAGGTGAGACGCCACTGTTTGTTCTTTCGAAAGCTCCGTCTCATAGTTTATTTGGTAGAACATTAGCTTCCTTGTGAAATGAAGTGAAATGAAACGCATTTGAGTCCCTCAGGCGTTCGATCAATATGATTCTTGGTTGGTATGATTTTTTGATTGGTAGGAGCAGCCGCCGTGAGTGGATGGACTCTGTCGTCTATGATGAACATTTCGAAACTTTCCATCGACATTTCTCCATCATCACTCATCATTCAACCCGCTCGTGTTTTAACAACCCTCCGGTTTTTCGCAAATATCTAGAAAAAATAGCGCGCAGCGCCGTTTTTGTCACACTTCATCACAATCTTTTTGACGTGCTGTGTAAATTTCAGATCAAGGTCACTGAAAGTTAGGTCACAAGGTCATGTCAAGTGAACTCACCTCATAAAAAGTTGCAATGCCTGCCATAGCTACACCGAGTGAACGATCACTTGGAAACTTTCAGCAATTGGCAAGGGCAGCAGTACGTACAAAACGTTTATCTCAGAAATTTGATATCGGTTTATACTCGTATCGGTCAGGTCAATTGGCAACCTCTCGACTATAAGTCAGTGGGAGAAAATTAAAAGGCGCCTCTTTTGGACGAACGCCATTTTTAACACTTTCAAAGATCGAATTACAAGTAAACATGACACACTGAACCGGAAAATGGCACAGGGACCCCCGTTTTGTCCCTGAGGTGGTGTCAGGTCACATTGGCATCTAACAGTTTTTCGCTTATAACTTTTGATAGAGGCACGCCAGACTGATGAAAACCTTAGATGTGTTCAGCTCGACGATACGGATCGACTGATATGCGGCATGTCCTTTTCCGGTATGGTCGTGACCTTGACCTTAGGTCAATTTTTTCAGTTGACCTTTCGAGGTCAACTTATAGTTCATTCTATGCGTCTTGAATAGAGGAGTACAATGCTGACTATTAACGCAAAAAAAAAACGTCTATTTTGGCCGTTTTTGCCTCCTGAAGGCTAAACCATTGACTTAAGGTCAAATCTGAGGGATTTATTCAGAAAGACTGTTAAAAGAGCTATCGAATGCGCTTTTGTAGCTCTATCCGTTCCCGAGCTATGCGCCGGTTTGTCGAAAACTATCGAGGTTTTATCTGCTCTTCCGGAGGACGCCGCCTAACGGCTTGTCGCTACGTGGCCCAGGAGCCAAGTTCGAAGGGGGAGTATTCAAACGCCCCCGTCCCACAGCAGGGGCCATGGCGTGGAAATCCAGGACCCCCTGCGGGGCGCAGGTTAAAAGGTAGTGTTAGGTCATAAAAGATCTCGCAGTTTTCCGACAATAACATTTGATAGAGACATAATAGAACAATTAGAGCTCCTGGTATGTGATCAGGTCAAGAATACGGATCGATTTATATGCAATATGGTCATTTTTGGTCAGGTCATCAACTTGACCTGAGGTCAAATTCTCCAGTTGACTCCCATCGACGCGTCTCGAACTTCGAAGAGAGAAACACGATGGTGGTCAGATAAATGTCGTGCAATGATTGACGTTAAAGTTACTGCAGACAAACTATTTCTACAAAATCCGTCTATTTAGGCTGTCCTCTGTCTGCCAAAAACCCTCTGTGGGCCAAATCGTTGACCTGAGGTCAAATCTAAAGACGTGCTAGCGAGAGAACTTTGAAAGAGGTATAGAAAGCGCTGTTATGTAAATTTTGATCCACGAGTTATGCGCCGATTTATGAAAATTGCTTAAGTCAAGGAAAATTTTACGGGAAAATTTCGTCTTTATATCACACTTTACCTCAGTGGTGAATTGAGCGAAAAATGAATTGCACGCTTCCAAATCAAAGCGTATAGAGAGCTACATATTGTTTTTTCTACGTCTTACTAGCCTTCCTACTAGTTTAATTGGTGTGACCCTTTCCCCGCCCTATATGGCGAAGCTGGCTGAGACACCACAGGGTGGTTAGTTGAAGCTGTTAATCGGCACTTAGCTGTCAGAATACAAACGCGAAAACCGTCCTCCGAGAGCTCCTAGCGATGCCCCCTAACCGTGCTCACTCTGATACAGAACTCGGTTTCTGTGGCGCCACCGCAGTCATCAGGTTTACACCGTATAGATGTCGTCACTGTGCGGGAAAGGCCCTCGGTTGGTAGAGGAGCACCGTCCATCCATAGCTACACTGTCATTCCACTACTCTATAATGTAAGGGATTCAGGGGTCAGGGTAGAATGCAGGGGTCTTATTAGATCGCAAGGGATTAGAACATGTCTAAACATAATAGTAGCAAAGCATGTGTTAGGTCGTGATTTGCTCCACTTCTCAAAACGGTACGATTTTCGGCATTTTCCTATGCCTATAGGTAGGAATCTATTTTTCATTGTCGTTCATTTTCATTTTAGTATGGCTTCAGATTCCCTTTAGTATGGCTTTAGATTCCCTATTTCTGAAAATGCATCACTAGCTTTTGCTTGCATTTCGTTTGGCCAATGATGAGACTGAATTTAACTTCTGCACTGCAAACGCCGAACGGTCAACGGTGCATATTCTGCCGATATTGATTTGTGTCGAGTTTTGCGAGCGCAACTGTGAAACCCAAGACAGTGATGATGCGACTCGTGACCATTTATGCGACAGATTATGTAATATGTTTTCTTATGTTTTCTGTTTTCTTATCTATCAATTGAAAGTGTCGATCCGTGCGATAG